GGTTCTACACTAGCTGCTATACCTGAAATCTATTTGAAGATTACCTATTTAAACTCTTTGGCCCTATGATACTTACTCGTATTCTATCCTTGTTTTACCAAATTCGCCTAACCCCGTGCTACTTCTCCTAAAAGATACCCGAGCTGATATTAGTTCACAAACTTTATGGTTCGGAGCTTAGACCCTATCACAAGGTGTCTCTTCACCAACTCCTTAACTGATGGGGTGCTGTGGTACCTAACTATGCTACACTATATCCCAATCTAGCTTGTATATACCCTTATTCAATGTTTATACAAACCCAGTTCCTACTGTGACCTTCCACCAGATCAGTCCTCTATGAAAAAGGAAAAGATTTATTTAATGAAAATATAGATATTGTAGTGGCAAAATCGGTTGAAGGAAATGATTTTAATTCTGGGATACTCTTAATTAGGCATTCAAGTTGGAGTTTTAACTTTATAAATAATTGGCAGGCTGTTAGAACTAAACGAATGGTTGAACAAGGTTCTATGTGGCATCTTTTAGATCAATTTCCTGACTTTAAACAGCGAGTACGTTTATTTATTATACTTGGATATTTAATTTTCTTTTCTAATCTTTTTAATTTTATTAAAATGAATTTTTTTTTTTATTCAACAGATATTGATACTAAATCACGATGATTATCCACTTAGCGCGTCACTTCAAACCTGGAAAAAAGATGATTTCACTCTTAATTACGTTTCTGAAAATTGTCCTGCCAAGTTCATAAAGAATTCTCTTAAAGAAATTGAAAGAAATTGAAAGAAGTTAAAAAGAGCTCATAATTATAATATTCTATTCACTGTTGACAATTTTATATATTTAAATTGCAACTATTTATTTTTACAAATTTATTTACGGTGTTAATTTTATTTTTACAAACTTATTTACGGTGTTAAGTAATTTTATATTAAATATATATATATATATATATTCATAGGATTTAAGGTTTATAAACTCGTTTTAATAATAAAAATATAGAAGTTGTATAATAAAAATTGGGCATAGGAGGTTGGAACCGGTTTTAATAATTCGGGTTTCTCACGTGAATTTTGTGATATTTTAGAATTTTATCCAATTAAATTTTAATAAAGGGAAAGTCTCCGGACGCAAAAGTTTCAAAATTGATAGGTCAGTGGTTACATTTTTGATAGATCTACGCTGTACTCAAAATTTGATTACATTCTTGATGCATTTTTAGTAAAATATTTTGAACTTTAAACGAAGATATCTCAATAACTACTTGACCAAATTCGATGACTTTTTTTTTGTTTTAATTTTATGGTTATATGGAATTTAAATAAAAAAAAATTCATCGAATTTGATCGGGTGGTTGTTG